GGTTGAATCTTGAGCGCCCCACTTACTTTACTAGCTGTGGGATCATGTACACATTATTTAACTCTCTAAGCCTCCATTTCTTTCTTTACAAAATGGTGGTGGGTGTGTCAGCTAAATTGGATGTATTATGTGAGAGAAAAAGGGATCACTTATGATTAAGAGATTTGAAGCATAAACAAATTAAAGGATGATTCTGCTATTTACTGAGATAAGGAAGATGGCAGGAAAATATTTAAAGAAAAAAGTGAGGATTTGTTTTTCGGAGAGGTTCAATTTGAAACATCTATAATGTAGCCAAGCAGAAATAACAAGTAGGCAGTTGAATGTACGAGTCTAGAGTTTAAGGAAAATATCTAAACCGAAGATGTAAACATCACTCATGTAGTATGCTTCTAACAGTTACTTCCATCCATTGTGCACCAAACAACGTACTAGATGTTGTAGGTAAGTTATTTATTCCTCAAGACCAACTTCTGGGTTCATGATGAGTATTAATATCATTATTATTATTTTCTAACACCTAGCACAGTGTCTAGTTATGTAAGCTACCAAAATATTTTTTGAATGAATTTTCAGCTTATGAATGAGGAAGTCAAGACTCAGAAAAGAAACTTAATCACAGCTAGTAAGTAACGGAACCAGGATTGCATCTTAAATTTGGCTCTAATTCCAAATAGTTATTCTTACCTTTGCTGCAAGGTAACATCATCTTATGCAATAACTACAAAGCAGCTTCACACTCATTAGTTTATTTAATCTTCATAATAACCATTTCAGGTAGGAGCAGATGAGAGACTGAGGCTCAGAGGAACCGAGTGGCTTGACAATATTATGCATCTGCCACTGCGCCAGGACACTCTATCACCCATAGCTACAGATCTGCAGCTTTAGAAGACACGGTAGTCAACCAGACTTCAGAACATTGGATCATGCATAATATAGCAAGATCATCTATTGCAATAATCATCTGCGTTTTCTTCTAGCTTCTTTAAAGACCCAAATAGCTGAGAGATGTTGTCCTCTTCCCCCTACTAGAAAGCAAGCCAACCTTGGACTCCTGGGGGTCTAGGGACTCTTGCCAAAGGGGAAAGTTAACAGGGCTCCATTTGGAAATGCTTCTGTGTATTGAGGCTATAGAGTCTAGAGAGGGGCCTAGGGTGGATGGATGGGAAGTGGCCCTATCTGGGGCAAGAAGATAACTTCCCTGAGCCTGGAAAAATAGAAGGTACTTGGGTGTATGAAGAGTGATGACCCCTCCTCTTTTGCACACAGTGCCCTGAATGGGAGAAGGTGCTGGAGCGGGGCTTGGGAAGTGAGTTAGTGGGCTCTTCACTCTGCCTAGAATGCTCTTCCCCCAAATAGTCATGCGGCTGGTTCCACACTTCATCCCGGCCTTACTCACGTCATGAGCTTCTGGAGGCCTTGCCTGACCACTCAAAAACACCCACCTCCGACACCCTACCATCTCACCTTCTCTCCCCTGACATTGCTTGTTTATTACTTTCTAATGCTAACCTCAACTTGAAATTTTATCACATATATAAGAGTACCTCTCTATTTATGTATTTATTTACATAGAAGGTTATTGTTCTTTTCCTCCAATAGAATGTATGCCCTTTGAAAGCAGGGATTTTGGTTTTTTCAATCTTATACAACTAATATACAGTAAGGAATCAATAAATATTTGTTAAATGGTGGTTTCCCATATCCCTTTGAAGGACATGAAAGATGCAAATATAATTTTAGGGACCCCCCCAAAATTTATTTTAACTTATTGGGATTTTCAAATGTATTAAATATTGTGTATACAATATTAATGTTATTAAATATTGTATAGATATGTATATACATATAAATAAATTATAAAACATATATGTTAGGTGAAAAGAATGAAAAGAACAACCACATTTTTATCACTAGTTAGCTTAGGAAATAGAACATTTCAAAAACTTCAAAGCCCTTTGTGAACACCTTCCTTTATCCCACAGGAAATCACTACCACGATTTTTTGTATTTTTCATCTACTTGCTTTTCTTTACAATTTTACGTTTGCATCCCTTTAAAAATATTGTTGACTTTTCCCTATTTTTAACTATAAAAACGAACCATATGATATGTGCTTTTCAACTTGTTTCTCCAGCTCCATGTTATTTGAGAGATGAACTCCTACATTGCTTTGAGCCGTGGTCCCTTCATTTTCACTTCTTCGTGGCATTTCATTATATTAAAAGCACGAGTCATCTAGTGTTGTGTTGCAGGATATTCAAGTTGTTTCCAATTTTTTGTTACTACAGACAAGGCTGCTATGAAATTCTTGTACACATCTCCTAGTTCACATGTTCAAAAGTTGCCCTAATCTATATGCCACAGAGAGGAATTTGGGGTTCATAGAATATGTGTATATTGAATTTCATAGGATAATCCCAAATTGTCTTCCTAAGTGAGTGTATCCAGAACTATTGTTCAGTTGGTACACACCATGGTTTCACCAGTTTTTAAAATATTGAAGTAATTCCACACTTAAGAACTAGCTGCTATCCTGAGTCCCTTGAGAATCTCCTGCAGATATGGCCATATGGCAACTGAACTGTTCTGGTTTGCCTGGGACTGAGAGGGTTTCTGGGATACAAGATCTTCAGTCTTAAACCAAAAAAGTTCCTAGCAAGCTGGAACAGTTGGTCACCCTTCCCTGGTCAGCCTCCTAGATATCAGAGGCCTTTCCACAATTCAGTAACTAAAGAGTCAATGCCTGACACAATGGTTAAATACTGACTATTGCCTATGGTTGCAGGTGTTTATATTCCCACCAATAGCTATGTGTTTCATTTCTCCCTGTATTCACCATCACCTGTTACAGTTTTAATTTTTGTTATGTAGGAGTATAAAATGTTACCTCATTATAATATTAATTTTCATTTTCCTAAAGTGACTGATCACGTTTCACAGGATAACTGGCTATTTGTGTGGCTTTATGAAAATTTTTCACCATGCCAGAGAGGGGCTGATACGACCAGGCTAGGAAAGATGGCTCCAGGCTGTTGAAAAGCTTCATTTTCCAATAGTCTTTTAAAGACCTTAGCTTCGGAAAGATTCCCTTTCCTAGATTTGCTTAGAGTGGGAGCCCTGCACCTCCAAATCTGCCATCAAATTTGTACCATGAGCATCTATCATGAGGGCAAAAAAAACAGGTAAATGGTAACCAAAAGCCCTTCTCTAATTTTTTCAGGTTGCATAGGCCACCCGCGCATCCTGTACCATGCTAAAGAGAAGAGAGCCACAAACTATGACTAATAATAAATATACAGCCAAACCAAGGTGAATAATGAATACATGGATTTCATTTGACCTGGAAACATATACCAATATGCTACTGCTTACACCTTCAGCTTGGGGGTCGTATTTATACTCTCTACACTAGACTCCTCTGACCACCAAACTGAACACAGTATAATCTGCTTTAAAAGTCTAATCCATGCAAATTTTTGTATGTCTAAAATCTGGAAGATAATTAATACAGTCTTGAAAGGTAAAGCACGTGGAAAGTCTGTTGGAGACTTGAAATGAACTGCCATAGCTGGCCGTCTTGTCTTTCAAGATGTTTTCCTTATGTCTTGGGAAAAGAGTTGGGCTCAACGAAGGTAACTGACAAAGGCTCCACGTAATTGCTGATCAGATGTGTGATCTCTTAAAACAGTGACATTTTCCTGGTTCAAAAAGCTTTTGCCCAAGTTCCCAGGCTAAGAGCAATAAAGCATGATTTTAACCCAATCACCAATATTTCCATGGCTTTTATAGTCTACCAAATTATACATTCATCATCTTTCTACAACTTTAGTGTATAATAACAAATTTTTTGCTTGCTTTCATGATGTCCTGTTTAAGAGAAAAAGAATTTCTCTAGCCATGTTTATGGTGCATTATTCATAAATACCTTGGTATGTACATAGTAAGGGTCGAAGCAGAACCAGGCAGGTGCAGAAGAAGAAGGGGCCACAGCACCAGTTAGAATAAGCTTACTCTTGCATCACATAATTCAAGAAGTTTGGGGGAGAACCATCCAAACCCAAAATATCTCCTAACTCCTTGTTTCAATGCCTGGAATTCCACCATTAGACTCTAATTATTAGGCCTCAAAATTTTTCAACAAGAGCACCCTACATATTTCTTTTTTAAAAGCAACTATTTTCAGAACATGTGACTCAAAAATAACATAGTGGATGAGAAGGGAATGTGGAGAAGCTGCATCAGCTAACATAGGAGTAAGTTCCTATAATTCTTATGTGTGCCTTACACTCCTACTCAATTGACTGAAGAAGGATGAAGGAATAAAAGGCAAGACTTACCTTCTTTATAGCCCACCCTGAGCAATACTGCAATGGGCAATTTCCCCACCAGCCCTTTGTCACTTGTCATAGCCAAGCGATGGTCTATTCTCCACTACCGTAACCCGATGGAGCCCAACGAGCCTCTGACCACTCAGTCCCCAAGCCACAAGGATGGAATGCCCGGTCTGAGAGTTCTAGGTTATAGGAAATCTTACACTGCTTATGCTGCTTCATTTACTAAATACAATAAACATTTGTTGTCTAGTATCAGTTTTTAAAATGTAAATAATATAGCAAAAGAAAATGAAATCTAAAAGACTAGTTAAGAATTCAAAAGCTACTTTTGCATTAAAATATAAATTACTATTCATACTGAACATCTCATGAATTTTAATGACTAGTATGGAAATCATATATTATCCTATAGTTTTTATACGCAGTATCTTTTAATTTAAAGAGCTTAAACCAAAGTCACATACAGCAGTAGGGAAAAATAAGGATGAGTGGCAAATCTCTACAAACACGTAATCATATTAACCTATGTCTAGAAAGGAAATTCCTTTTCTCTTTACATGGGCTTCATACAAATCAGTCCCAATATTTGGAGGTAGGGCCTTTGGGAGGTAATTAGCTTTAAATGAGGTCGTGAGAGTGGTGTCCCCCATGTGCACGCACCAAGGAAAGGTCATGTGAGGACATAATCAGAAGATGGCCACCTGCACACCAGGAAGAGGGCTCTCACCAGACACCAAATCTGCTGGCACCTTGATCTTGGACTTCTCAGCTTCCACAACTGCGAGAAATAAAAGTGGTTTAACCTACCCAGGCTACCATACCCTGTTACAGCAGCCTGAGCTAAGACACTGTGTTACACAAAGGTAGGAGAATTGTGAACTTATTAATATCTATGGTTATAGACACAGAGAGATATACATACAGATATAGGAAAATAAAAGTCCTTTTATGAAGGGAAGAGATAAATAAAGCAATCTGTATTTTTAAAAACTGAAAGAATCAATAAAATAACAAACATAGGATAAACACTGAGGAAAAAATAAAGGATTTGGCATAAATCTAATTAGTCGTATCAGCAGAGAGAGGTTCAGGCTGGTTTTGGTAAACACAGGATGGTTTTTGAGTGGAAAGTAAATAAGTGCACTGAGGTACCGTACTAATCACATTTGTTCTAACATTGACCTTATAATAATTAAAAATTGATGCTTGCAACATAATACAGCTGTGCAATCATATTTAAACTTAATCATTTCATAGACAGAGGAAAGCTGTACAAAAAGGTCAAAAACACTTCAATTTCATGACAGTAAATTTACTCTTTATTCCCAAAGTGAAAATGTCTAATTTCTAAAAGAGCAAACCAATAATTACTTATTATAAAGCTATTTTAGTCAATACTTAATTTCTCTATATTGATTAGTGTTTAGACGTTTAAAATGTACCCTACAGCAAGAATATGTGTTTACAATACTATTCTCCCTACTGATGTCTGTAAGTATTATAGGTATCGATTTAAGGCATGTCTCAAAAATGCCAAACTTAATAGTAATCATATAAGAAAGAGTTTACTCTTTTAAAGCTTAAATTTAATTTTTAAATATTTGAATACTAGTATCCTTAAAGGTCTCTGTATCATGATGGCTATTTCTGCCATTATATACTTTAATCATGGGTGCCCGATTAAACTGTGCAGTATCAATTCCCCTCTCTCCCAAAAGTAATAGAGAAAGAAAATATAAAAATAATTAACTCTACCACTCACAACTGGAACAAAATATTTTCTGTTTATTTTATGTACTTCTGATTGTAAAATAAAGACTGGGATATTATTTCCCCTTAACTTGCATTCTGTGTAACTTCGAGCTCCTTGCAATAAAACGAAATGATGCTTCATCAGGATGTTACTGGGAGTACCAAGGCAATTTACAAACTTTCTATCATTAAGTCTGAGAACATCACCGTGAGGCAGGTATTAATATAACACTTCTCTCTTGAGGAGTTCGATGCACTTTACATAACTTTACTTTATTAACTCTTCCTTGCGCTAGGCAAAAAGGCTATGTCTAACCATGTACCTCACTCACAATGCCTGCATAAAAAGAGGAGAGAATCTATACAGCCACATGTTTCAAATTTGCTTTTACTTCTAATCTGAAGTTATGACTAAAAACAAGGCCAATTGGGTCACTCAATATATTTGGTTTTGTTAACATTGATTTTGTCAACAGGTTTCAGTTTCACAAATCTGAAGTCAGAACTAAACACTTAAAAGATTATTAATCCCATTAATTCTTAAGCAATAATTTTTTCTGGGGATGGAAGAAATTTAAGAGTAACAATCAACTTTTCCCTTTATTATAATACACTAAAAATTGCAAAAGCAGATTATGATCCTGGGGACCAAGCATCACAACATCTTTAAGTACATCTGTGTATTTTTTAGGAAAAGTGCAACTATGCACATATGGAGGCAGCCAGAAGATAGATATAAAGTGAAGGACTTAGAAATACCAATAATAGCTAATAGTGCTTACCAAGTGTCAGTCACTATTTTAAGGAATCTACATGTATGAACTCATTTAATCCTCACAATAAATCTATGAGGCGGGTAATATTATTATCATCATTTTACAGATGAGCAAACAGCCTCAGAAGGTCACAAAGCTACTAAGTGGCAGAGCTGGGATACAATCCAGGAAATATGACTCCAGAGCCCAGGTTCTTAGCCAATGTTCTAGAAAGGAAGAGAAGCTGCCCCAATCCACGGTATACTCCATCAAAGAGTTCCAAGTCCATAATCTTTTTCCACTCCGATTGCAATATTTCCCACCTCACAGTCTACTTCATAATCATCAGAGAAGAACAAGTGCTCAAGTTTGTGTATCGTACTCTCAAATTAATGACACCAGAATTTAGAATACGGTCACAGGGAGGCACTATAGTACAATTAGGAATACAGACCTCGTTGTCAGACAGACCTTAAAAGGAAGGATGCCCCAGACAAGTTACTTCTATCCAAGCTTCACAAAATAGAGATAATAGAACATACCTCCCGGTGATGTAGTGAGAGTTAAACAGGTTAAGATTAAGCGCTTAACGCAGAGCCTCACACATAGTAAGCCTCACACATAGTAAGCACTCACTGGATGGTTGCTATTACACTGAGTTAATATAAAATTATTTGAGCCTTTCTCAAAACTCCGATATTCAGAATTACCAGTGAATTTAGCACATCACAATACTGGTGGCAAATTGGACTGAATTGATTCTTTTATCAAATATATGTTCTAGGCATTATGCACGATCTTGTTTAATCCTCAGACCAAACCTACAACTGAAGTGTGGTTGTGCCCACTTTTAGATAGGAAAATAAGCCTAGAGATTTTACTTGTCCACTGTCCTGCTAATAGTAATTAGATGATTAATCAATTAACTAGATGCATCCCACAAAGCACAAAGATCAGCAATCAAGAGGTGAGAAAATTATTTGAAAAACTTTTCTCTAACTCTCAAAAAATTATAGAACTGCAAAGTTCCTACCCTGAAGTTCACCTTGTTTCGCTTTGTTATAATTACAGTAAAGCTGCACCCAGAGAGAATAGTTAGAAGAAAGATGATAAAGAGGAAAAATATTGCCCCAAAACACATCCCCCATGTCCAGGTGCTTGTGCTACTTCTATCAGAGTCACTAAGGAAAACAGCAGGGGCCGAGGGGAGGGGAGGAGCTTTCAGAGGGAGACAGTGCTGGAGGGGAAGCAGGCAAGCATTCTACACTAGGGCTGGGGATCCAGGGAGAGGGAGGCAAGACTATGGTACTGCAAAACCCACTTACCTCAAATTAGCCTCACCTGTACCCAAACATCCTGTACTGGTAGGCTTCTGGTCTATCCATAGAAATCTGCAGAAAAAGAGAAAGCATACCACGTTAGTCTTGCACTGACCTCCTCCCTGAATCTTGACCTACCGCTATCCCTAATCAGAAATGCCTTAGTTATGCAAAACAAAAATACCTCCCGCTGAATTAGGACACTATTTCCTCTTTCTCTGTAATGCAAATAAAAATATTTTGTCATCTACATAACATCTGCCGTACATAGTAAGATAATTATTTATCATTCTCATTTAAGGAATATGATTCAGAACTGATTACAATCCATACTTTATTTCCACAATGACTGAAAAAAAGACTTAAGTGAAAGAAAGGAATTTCCTGTTTCACTGGCCAACATACAAGCCAACATGGAGGATGTGGCAGATAGAAACTCATCATATATGAAACGGACAGAAGCTCAATGATAAGGGTTCTGCTTACACAGGTGTGGAAAGAAGTGGAAAACAATCCTTGACCCACTTGTCAGCAAGAAATATAATTTGAAAATATATTCATATTATCTCAAAAACATATGAGATCTTGTGTTTCATTATCAATTACCAGGCAGCACCCAACCTAACCATTTCTCATATGTTTAGAATATATGACCTCTCTCAATAACTCATTCCAACTTTTAAAAATTGTCATATAAAGGTAAGCCTTTTTTATCTAACTTCAATCACTCCTATGACATGATTGAAACACCCAGAATGATGCTAAGCGCATACAAGTTCCTCCATAAACCCTTGTTGATGGGATGGTGATTTCAGTCTATTTCCCTTTTCTCTGACCATAGTGGAGACAGGAGAAATGCTTAGACAGAAACATTAGCAAGATGGTTAGAGATAAGAGGAAGTTGATGAGGGACAAACGCAGAGTAGAACTGAGGAGAAAAACAACGTGGAATGACTCACTGTCCTTAGCACAGTACGATCTATTTTAGAAGACGCTGCCAGCCACCAACAAAACACGAACTGTAAAAACAAAACTTGCTAAAGCATACATTCAGAAAACCTAGTGCTTCACTACTTTCTCACTCAATTTCATGCAAATAACTCCCAAATCAATCAATCAATCTCTCTCTCTCTCTAACCCTGACCTCTCCCAGAGTTCCAGTTCTACTTCCACAACTGCATAATTGTATTGGGTGGTAAGATGGGATGTTCTTTCTCCATGATTCACTCTGTCCTTCCTCCATGGCCTTACTGCTAGTGTGAAAGGCATCTTCGGTAAGACCTAGTGAAAAGAACCAGGATGGGTTGCCATAGTGACCCATCAACATTTTAGTGTGAGAAGTAATCAGTATTAACAAGAAAAAAATGTTTACTTATCTTGCAGATTGTCCAGTCTCTTGAATCCAACAAAGTACAGAAAAGACCTGACAGTGCCGGTGCAAGAAGGAGCTAGAGATCCCTGGGGGAAAGGGTAGGCAACCCACTGGCGATCGGTTAACAGCAGGACTCTCTGGTGATGGAATGGACTTGCCTGTTATCCCCTGCAATAAAAGATCCAACAAACGGGTTAAATTTGGATACCCTGGCAGCACCTCAAAAAATTTCTAAAATTAAACTTCCTCATGAACCAGTTTCTGCTGACTTCCTTGTTTGCTAAGGGTACACTTGTTCTCTCAGGCTCCACACATGAGTCATCTTGCCTCATTCCTCACCTACCCCCATCATATCTAATTAAACACCAAATCAGGTCTGTTTTGTCTTCAGCACTTTTTTGCAGCTCTCTGCTGCTTTCTTTTCCCAGTGCTTCATCTCCAATTTGCTTTTGACCGCACCCTTGGCTCCCTGACTACAGCCCTTGACTCTTCCAAACAATCCATCTGGCAGGTAGCTTCGGTTTTGAGTTTGAGCTCTGCCTTGACTGGGTCACTATTCTTATCAGAAATATTCTGTGACTCCCCCTTGTCTGCTGTACAAAGATATTACCCCAAACTACCTTTCAGTCTTACCTTCTCCTATCTCCCTGGGCACCAGCTCTGCTGGCTATCATCCTACGTCCCACCACATTCTACTGTCTGAATTCCTGCCATTTCCTTTTCTTGTAATATAGTCTCCCCACCTCCAGCATATTCCAACACCCTTCAACACAGACACACGTTTTTACATCAGCTCAGATGTCCTCCACTCCTTTAAGTCTCACTTCACCTTCCCACAGACCCGCCACCAGAGGTTTTTCCTCCTCTCTCTTAGAGCCTTCAGTTGCCTTCACTTTATAGCAAAACATACTGCTTTGTATCGTAGTTGTTATTTTATCCCAGGATCTTACTGTCCCCACTAGGATCTTCTTACAAGGAAGGACCATGTGCTATTTATCTTCTTATGCCCCTCAGTGGCTGGCATGGTGCACCCCACAGACTGAATGTTCAGGAACTATTTTACATGAGTAAATACAGAAACAAAATGACTGTTCCAGATACACTCTTTTCAGAATAGTGCTTTTCAAGCTTTAGAATGCCACAGAATCAGCTGTGATGCTGTTCAGGTTTTCTGATTCAAAAGATCTGGCCTGAAAACCAAGAACATGTATTTTTAAATGGTTTTTAAACTAAAACTCCATTAGTTTCCATGGAAAAAATTTTTGCCTATGCAATTTATAGTCTGAGATGTTGAATAGACCGACCCCACACTAAGCTATCATCCTTTAAAAAGAAAAACTTTAAAAACTGCACACCTCAAGCTATCACAGCAATTGATGTTCAATAATAAATCGATGTTGGGGCTGGCCCAGTGGCACAGCGGTTAAGTTCACACGTTCTGCTTCTCGTTGGCCTGGGGTTCACAGGTTTGGATCCCGGGTGCCGACATGACACCACTTGGCAAAAGCCATGCTGTGGTAGGCGTCCCACATATAAAGTAGAGGAAGATGGGCACGGATGTTAGCTCAGGGCCAGGCATCCTCAGCAAAAAGAGGAGGATTGCCAGCAGATGTTAGCTCAGGGCTAATCTTCCTCAAAAAATAATGATAATAATAATAATAAATTGATGTTCAATTATAATAATAAACAAATATCATTTCGAGTTAAGTTTTATATGTTAAGGATCACTTACTAGGTCAAATAAATCAAGCAGGACAATATCTCAGTTGGTAGTCTCTAGTGAAAATAGTATGCGTTCCAAACAAAAAAATAGTTCTTGAATATTTACTATAATGCAATATCAAAAAGTGCACAAAAATAACACGTTACTTCCTCACAGAAAGAGTGTTGGTTTGCTATAGAAATTATGTTTCCCCTAAATTCAAAAAACTTGTACTTTATAAAGATTGTACAATAGTAGATAGTAGGAAGGAAATAAAACAAAATGACTTTCCCTAATTTATAATAGAATGTAGCCTTCACCTTGTCTGTTTGCACTCTGGCCTCATCTGACTTTTCTGCAGCCACTTCCCGTCTGTGTCAAGTCCACTCGCACCTTGGAACGCCCACGACACACTCAGTCTTCTTCAGCCTCCTCACTAGTTCTCAGGGAAGACACCCCCCATGCAAGGAGATTAAGTAAACAGAGAGAAAAATGGAATTTTTCCTTAAAAAAATCCATGAATTCACAGAAAACTATTTTTTCTATAGAATTTAGAGATGAACAAAGTGAATTATATCAAATTATAAATTTTAACAATTTTCATTTTATTTCAACTAATATGAGAAAAGAATATTTTACCTTGAAAGTATTAACTCTAGTTCTAGAAATATAGCCATAATAAATAATCATGGATGTAAAAAAGCTTGTGTATAAAGATTTATTCATATTATTTTTAATAGCAAAGTAACAATAAACTAAATGTCCAAAAGTAAAAGATTGGATAAACATATTATAACTTATGAGTAAATCAGGATAGTATATAATCACTAAAAGTGATGCTGTATAAATCTATTCAATAAGATAATATTAAAAAATTTAAGAAGCAGATTAAAAAATACTATATACAATACCATAACACTTACCAGACACATATAATCATGGAAAATAACTACTAGAAGGACATTCATCAAAAATTTAATCATGATTACTTCCAGCTTTGGGGATTATTACTAGGGGTTATTGTTGGGGATTGTTGTTGATTTTTTAATTTTGTTTTTAATAATTTACCTATTGTACACATTATCTATAGTAAACATAATATTTTTGTAACCAGTACAAAAAGAAGGAAAAGTCCGGATTCTAGTGACAGCTGGGTCACCTTGAACAAGTTGTGTAAGCTCACTCAGCTACAGTCAGTTACTTCATCTAATAAAGCGGGCCAGTAATTGTACCAACTTCATGGAGCTGGGTAATAATTAAAATAAATGATATAATACATGTAAAATTCTTAGCACTGGCACTTGAATAAAGAGGAGTTTGAAAAGACCAGCTAAAGGGACTGTATAGGAATTTCAAGGCTTCCCCTAGTTTTTTAATTCCTAATCATTTTAACCATCAAGCCAGTCTACCCCTGAGTTCAAACTCTCCTAAATCAAATAATTGTTTCACTCACTTGTGGGGGTTTGTTGAGCCAAAGAACATAGCTATGGCTGTGGCCCAAGTTGATATTTTCCACCAGCTGCATTACACATTGGTGGTTTCAGTAAATGGCCATGATGGCCAACAGGGGAAAGAAAAGAATTATCTTCTGCATCCACACTCCTTGGGAATTGTACGAAGGAAACAAATAATTACTAGAATTTGGCTGGCATATTGAACATGGTGCGTTAAGAAAAGTCATGGGACTTCTAATGATAGAAAATGGTTCAGACCTCAGGTTTGCATGTCATCAAATAAAAATAAATCCTTTAAGCAAAGTACTCTAATGAAGCCATGTTTTACTTCTGGGTATACTTCAGTCATTTTAACTGGAAAAATATAGTATTATTCTGTATAATTATTATATTTTCTTTTTCTTGGATGCATGTATCACTGTTAATCAGGTGATAACCTGATTGAAAACATTCACAAATTCAGAGATACACTCATTCTTTCCTTCCTTCATTCACCCGACAAATATTTATCGATTGTTTAGTATATGCCATTCACTACGTAGGTACTGAGGATACAAGGAAGGTCTCTTCTCATGCAGCACAGTGGGAAAAAATTATTCCAATAATTACACAAATAAACACATAATTATAACGTAATTGATCTTACAAAGGAGAGGCAGTACAGTACTAAGTGTAGAGTAGAAGGTGTGGAATTAGAAGCATCAAGCTTTTAAGATGCTGAGAGTTCTCTACAATGATAAAGAGCTTTCTCTCATTCTCTTCCTCTCCCCTCCCTCCTCTCCTCCCTCACTTCCCCTCCTTTCTCTCTCTCCCTCACACTCTCTCTCTCTGAATGCCCATCACAGTATATCCATACCCATGTTTTAACCTAGTAAGTTGAAAATGTTAGGAGTGCACATTAGTTTCCTAGGGCTGCCATAACAAAATACCACAGACTGGGTGGTCTAAACAACAGAATTTTTTTCCCAGAGTTCCAGAGGTTGGAAGCCCAAGACGAAGGAGCCAGCAGGGTTGGTTTCCTCTGAGGCCTCTCTCCTTGGCTGGCAGATGGCCGCCCTCTTGCTGCCTCTTCACATGGTTCTCCCTCTGTGCATGTCGCTGCTGGTGTTGCTTCCTCTTCTTATGAGGATGCCACTCATGTTGGATTAGGGCCCACCCTAAAGACCTCATTTTAACTTAATCACCTCTTTAAAAACCTTATCTCTGAATATAGTTATATTCTGAGGTACTGGGGATTGAGATTGCAAAATAAGAATATGGGAGGTGCACAGTGCAGGCCATAACAGGATGGTAGTGAGCAGAGTTGCCACATTTGGTTGTGCCACTTACGCCTTGCACAACTCCAGGATGTGTGCCCACATCACAGTTATCATAAACCTGTGTATTTTCTAATTGAAAATTTTCCTGCAAGAAGCTTTTCAATTGAAACCTTCCAGGAAGGTTTACCTGTTCCAGACTTTCACAAAGGACCCTTTGGACTAGCAACATGGCTTTGTGGTAGGAAATCCTTCCACATAGAGGGAGCCCTCTTAGAGTAACACTCCTGGCCTCTGGTTGTCCGTCCCTCCACTCACCCCTCCCTTGAAGAGTGTATTTTGAATTTGAATGAGTAGTCAGGAAGGAGCTCTATGAAGCCCTATGTCCGCACTCACATAATAGAGGCCATGTAGGGTAAGGTTAAACGTGCAGCTTCTGGAATGGACGACCTGGGCTCAAACCTCAGTCCCACTACTGTGTGACCATAGGCCTTATTTAATACGTGTGTGCTTAATATTCCTCATCTATAAAAGAAAAATGATCAATGTACCTACATTTTAGGGTCATCGTAAGAATTCAACAAGATTATACCTATTTATAAAGTGCTGTGTGTAAATAAACATTCAATAAAAGGGTGCTCTTACTACTTCTGCGTAGATTTCAGGATTGCCCTCCAACTCCCTTCCTACAAGCTGAGAAGGAGCAGATGAGGACCATGCTGATAATGATTTCAATGTAGTTCCAAGAGGGCAGAAACTATGCTCCACCACATACCAAATATCCAGCAGAGCCCCTGGCGTGGAAAAGATATTCTAGACTTGTTACATGAATGAGTCTCCTAAAGGAATCAAGATCAGACTGCAGAATCCCAGTCTACCCTGGAGAGTGGGGGTTTCATCTCATGAGTCTGTATATTCTCTAAACTGCCTAATATGGTATCTTGTTTCTAGTAGGTACCAAAATATTTATTGAGTTTCTATCAGGTTAAATAAACATAAAATATATCAGTATAATTTTTTTACCATTGTTCCTTTTCTGGGTGATTTCTTCCTTAAGAGACAAAAGACTCCTTGATTTACGAGAAGTGTTGCATGATTAAAAATGCTTGCTGTGGAGTTCTGGAGATGGATGGTGGTGATGGTTGCACAACAATGTAAATGTACTTAATGCCACTGAACTGACCAAACTGTACCCTTAAAAAATGGTTAAAATCGTAAGTTTTATGCTAGGTCGATTTTGCCACAAGTTTTTAAAAATATATACACTACAGATCAATAGTGAGAAGGGAAGTTGTGCTACTGAAACACAAGGTTGCTTTGAGAATCGAGTAAGATACCAGTGTGCCCAGCATATGGCAGAAGCTCAGTAATAGTTATCTTTTCCAGTAGTTCTAGATCACAAGTGCCCCTGATGGTGACAAATCACCCAGAATGCCCCCTGAAGTTCCTACTGCCAGATTAAAAGGTTCCTCTAAGGGGATTGCAGATGGTGGAGATAAGCGCTCTGGAAGAAACCTTACAGCTTGGTCTCTCCCACAATCTATTCCAATATCATAAATTACAAATTATCAAAGGAAATGCTTGAGACTATTAAAAGAAGACATGCCATTAACTATCCATTTTGGATAGGCATCTGTAACATTTGTTTCAAAATAACATAGATTTTTTTCAATTACAGCTCTAGTGAATTTATGTGCCTCATTATAAAGTAATTCTGTCAGAGCAGAGGGATTAGAAAGGAGAGTCATTAACTCTTTCTTCAGAGGAAAATCACAATAACCTACAAAGAAAGAATGAAAGATATAAATAAGAATTTCATATTTAATATACAGCCAATAGTTTATTTTAAAAGATATACTCCTATTCACCTACTAGTCAGTCTCTTGGAATTTGACTATTTTTTGGAAAAAAATCAACATACTTGATGGTCTGAGTTTAAATAAATCATGACATGATCCTGAGAACTTGGCAAGAACATCAATGATTTTACATCTGGCATCACACACCAGCTGCATGTTGAGGGAATGAAAAGCTTTTCTATTTCTCTACCTTGCTTCATTAGTGAATATGTGGTGATGCATGCATCACCGCGTGTGTGCAGGCTCAGCTCCCCATATGGAGAAGCATCTAGCAAGTCACAAAACCCATGCATCACTTGCTATGATGCTGAACTTTCAAAAATAATAGATCATATTTTTACTGAAATATTTTTATCTATAAATGAACATATGTTTTTTTATCAATAGAGCTATATACTTAATGTATATTGATAGAACCTGTTGCAAAAGTCTCTAATGGAGAAATAACTTTAGCTGTTACAGTTGAACATATGTACAGTATGGTACCCATCTTCAAGTCATCATACAGTAAAAAACAATAATTTCCTTGCCAAATCTATGTCCAACACATTTTCTACTTAGTTCTTGACAACTATACTACTTACTGGAAAAATATCTGCACTGTGAGCATTACGGTTATCTAATTAAAGAAATCTTTACAGTGTCCTCAATCTCATCTGTTATTTGCCTTATATTTGTATATTCTAAGTATAACAAACACCTTTTTTTATTAGTTATCTATTGCTGTGTAACAAATCACCCCCAAAATTTAATGGCGTAAAAGATAACCATTTATTATTTTGAGGATTCTGTGGGTCAGGAAATCAGAAGTGGCTTGGCTGGGCAGTTATGGCTCAGGATCTCTCACAAGGCCACAGTTTTAGAGGCCAGAGG